TCTCTGTAACAGAATCGTATGATCTGTGGTGTCAAATGCTGCACTAAGATCCAACAGGACGAGTACAGAGACAAGTCCATCCATAATTGATCTTTTCAGGAAGCTTCATCCTGAGACCTCCTCTGCCCCTCGTTCACCTGAGACACCATCTAGTAAGACTTTTCATAAGTCTTATCTTAAGTATTATTGTGCCCCAAATGTGTCCTTTATTATACAGTCTATAAGAATAAAAAGCAGGTCCTTCAGTTGTCTCCCCACCGACACTCAGACCAGCTCCTTGTATACCTGAGATACCACACAGTAAGATATTTTCACAACTCTTTTCTTAAACGTATGATTGTAATGTTTCTACATTAAAAAGTGTAAAAATGACTACACCCACAGGTATGTTATATATGTTGTTGATTAATATATCCACATTATCTCAAATGATTCCAACAAATCTCCAACCCAGAATTGTATTCAAGTAACAGGGCATCTAATGTCACCTGTTGCTATAACCTTCGAGTTTGATGTGTAAGGAAGGAAGTCGTTGAACGTAGCTAAACATAATATAAATAAAACGTTAACTTGCTCGAAGAAACTTCAGCTTGAGGCACTTAAGGTACAATGTGTAGAATTTTGTGTAAATTGAATGTTGCAGCTGAACACCTCTCTCCTCACCCTCTCCTTCCAAACATGAAAGAGAAACTGTGGTAGCCTTTAATTGTCATAAAAACTCAAAAGGTGTTTAGTTTGTCCAGTCTGGACTACTGTAAAAAACATGGCGGCCTCCGTAGAAAGGACCCTCTCCATGTAAATATAAAGTATTTAAATATAAAGGGTCTTTTCTGGGGTAAAGAAAACTACAATTCACACAATTTAGATGAAACAAACTAGTGAAAACATCATGAGAATTATTCTACATTAAATATCTGCCAATAGTACCCTTTCACCTTAATCTTACACACTGGACCTTTAAGCTAGATTTTGTTGTTGTTTTACAACAATTACAAAAACACTACCACCAATAACACCACGCTACTTCATAATGCCATCAAACTATTGTTTTAATTTTTTATATTAAAAGAGCCCTAGCAGAAGAAGTTACATATATTTAGGTATTACTGTGCCCCAAATTTGTCCTTTATTATACAGGCTATACAGGAGGATAAAACAAATGACAGGTCTAAATGACTACATGTCACCATTTATTTTTTTCCTCAACTTAGCCTTCTCCTGTTGTGCCCCCACCGACTCAGACACACAGTTTGAGCAGAAGCAGATCAAATTTAATTGCAGACGGGCTATTTGAGTGCAAGGGCAGTGTTTTGATGAAAGGTAATACACAATATGAACATGCGCTCAAACTGAAATACCACACTCTTGAATAAAGATAGGAAAAAACGTCCATACTGTTACTTTTCCCTCAGGTTGTTGGACTGTCATTAAAAGCTCATTTTGATGAGTTTGACCAGGTGATCATAAAAAATCCATGGTACAAGTCTGGAGGAGGTGGAGCGAGATTTGACAGAGACACCTTGAAGTTCTCTTTCTCTCTCTATTGTCTCACTCGCACAATGTACTGTAGCTATGTTGTGTGGGTCCCCGGTTTTTTGGTTTCTGGTGTATGAGGACACACGTAAACACATCCACACCAGATTTGACCAAAGGCCTTCGCATTTACAGGTTTATTTTGATTCTGACCCAAATGCTTTTTATGGGCAGTACAATTTTACTCTCTAAGGAAACTACAGAGGAAAAAAAAATACTTCCAGAGCCAGTTGCTCTACCTTACTTTTACCAGATCCCAATTTAAGTGTATATCCTCTATATTACTATGTTGATCTTTTTTGTTGAAATCTGTAAGTTGAGTCTGTCTATTACATTGTCTGACTGCTTATGTTTCTTGTGCCTGACTTTCAGAATAAAAAATCTCTGCAATTAAACTGGTGAGTACAGTGTTACAATATCAAACAAAAGCAATGTACAAAATTAAAACAAAAGTTGTAATAATAGCAAATGATTCTAGTCTTGGTCTTAAATCAGCCCCATGAACAGACAAGAATGACCTCACTATTCAAAAATGTTCTCAGGATTTGAAAATTGAATTGAAGGACAGAAAACTCAACACTCGACCATTACACAAAATAAGCCTATTAAGATCTATGTCCTGAAATAGAACCAAGCCGCAGCACCAGTCTGAGGCCGCTTTACTGAGGAAACAGCAACTCTGTCATTGTTTCATGTTGCTCAGCCGCACTGCTTTTTCTAATTCAAATTGGCGATGGTCGACTCGCTCCAAGAAGTTCTTCCGCTCCACAAACCTAAACACACACAGATAAAGGAGGAGAACATTAGACCGACTTCAATCATTACAACTACAAACACACACTGACAATTCACACACACACACACACACACACACACACACACACACACACACACACTTAAGCATTTGTTCTTCAATATTGATGAGCTCCAACAACTAATACAGCTGCTCCACCTCGGTCGCCATTGTTTACTGTTGTTTACTTTACGGAAGAAAAAGCGAGGATTCGGCTATAACCACACAAACACACCGCTACACCCCCTAGCGGCATGGCGGTGAATTGCAGAGCAACGCGTTCCCTTGACGCAGAACTTCGAATGCTCAACGACTGACGGCGTAGGTACGGCGTAGACGTGACGCAGAAGCATAAACTAGGCTTTACTGAGGATACTGATTGACATAATACATTCTCTAGGAGGTATGGGCCTAGGTCAGAATAGACCCCTGTAGAACAAGGCAATTCTTTCAGAGAGTGGAATGGAAGCAAGTAGGATAAGCTTCCTGCTTAGAGCAACCTATGACGTCCTTCCCTCACCTACAGCAGTGGCTAAATGAATATACATCCTGCCCACTATGCTCAACTCCGGCTACCCTAAAATAAATCCTCAGGGTTTGCAAAATAAGTCTCTCCAAAGGTAGGTTTACGTGGAGACACAACCAACTCAAATGCTTTGCAGCAACAACAGAAACAAAGAGAACTGCTGCCAATAACTTTCTATCCAAAACATCAAACACAGTCTAAAGGACATTTGTCTGTGAGGGGGAACAGGGACAGAAACACTCAAATTCATTAATTTGAGTGTTTTGTGATCTGACTACAAGGTAAGTGTAGCCCTCCAACCCCGTTGTTTTACCCTACGTAACAACCTGCCCCAAGCTGAATGAAGACTAGGATTGAGTTTAGTTAGTTTGTGTCATGCAGTTAGTGGGGAACTCCTGGGGGGCATGTTCAGCCTCTGGTGCACATTTGGGGGGTTACACTGTGTTCTGTTGGATCACTTGTAGCCTCATTTGTCTACGCTTTGTTGTGTCTATTTTTTCTCACTGGGTTTTTTGTGTACTCCAGTGGTTAGTATTGCCTCAATTTCAGATTTTGTGGCTGCTCCTTAACGGGGTGCATAAATATTGTGTACCACAGATCAGCTGTTTAAAAGAAGTAGGACATTTTGGACACTTTTGGCTGAGGAGACTAGTCGGGTCTAGTTGTTGCAGTTGGGAGTGGGCTTACTTTATAGAAGTGTAAAGAGCTGTTGCTGCTGCAAATGGAGGGTGAGAAAGTTAAGCAGTTTACTCTAGAAAAGATGAGGCAAGAATATCAAACAGAGAGGGAAAAGTTGAGGCAGGGGGCTAAGAACTTGAAATTTAATGAGAGACAGTGTGATTTCCAAAGACTTTTCTTTTGGTGAAGGGGTGTTTTCTCCAGGACAATCTGAACATAGTAGGTCTGATTTTGGCAGTAGTTTGTGTCTTGTCCCTTTGAGAGAGATCCTGACACATTTTATTCTCTGTTTGAACGTGTGGCTGACATGAGGGGTTGGTCAGATTCAGAGCAAACTTTGTTGCTTCAAAGCGCATTAACCGGCTGCTTATTCTGCACTGTGCACAGCAGATTGTGTGATTTATGAGAATTTGAGTCTAAGTCTGTAATAAAAGCCTATGAGTTACGCAGTGATAAACAAACTAATGTTGAATTTTCTTGAGATTTCTTGTCTCATTTAAATTGTTAAGAGCTCTATTCAAGAATGTTCAGTAGATATTTAAACAAGCATATAGTTGTTGATGTTGTTGAGGCAGCAGCTTTAGCTGACAATTATATTTTGACACAGAATGGTTATTTTTGGTAATGCATGCTCCCAGGATGACAGGAGACAGTCTGTTGCTCTATAAAAGGGGGCCAAAGTCGGCATCAGAGTTGGATAGAGGCACACAAGTTTTACATCTGACTCTATGCGGACCTGCCATTATTGCTGTGGTCAGGGGCATTGGAGGGATGAATATCCTGTCCTTAGGCCTAAACATTTAGGTTTTATGGGAAAATGTATCCTGCTCCTGTTTTGCTCTAGCGTCTCACAATGTGAGGAGGCTAATAGTGATGATGTGAAAACTAACAATGAGGATTTTAAACCTTTCATCTCTGATGGGTTTGTGTCATGGTGCAGCAGTAAGGAGAAGGTGCCGATTAAAATGATGCGTGATTCAGGGTCGAAACACTGTTTCGCATTGGAATCTGTGTTGCTCTTTCCATCAGAGACTGATACAGGGGGAACTATACTGATGAGAAGGATGGGGATGTGTGAGTTGCCTGTACCTGTACATAAACTGTGGTTGACACAAAGGTGGTGTGGGGAAAGACTGCTGAGGTGGTGGCATTCATCCTGGGTAATGATTTAGCTGGCAGCAGAGTTTGGCCTGATGTTGATTCACCGCGTTGGTGGAGCAGCAGCATCTTGATCAGTCGCTTTCTGGTTTCTATGATGCTGTTTGCCCAGTGAGTGAGTGCTGGTCAGGGATGTTTCCTTCAGGGAAAGCCCATGGTTAGGCAGTGGGTGCCCTGCAGTGAGAATTTTCTGGGTGACCCTATTGTTCAAGTGGTGGTCCCTACTAAGTTCCATCAGGTGGTTTTGATATTGTCTCATCATTAGGCGGGTGCGGAAGACATATGACCGCCTTTTGCTGTATTTTTTCCAGCTGAAGTGTGATGTGGCTGCTTACATTAGAACGTGCCACACCTGTCAGCTCACGGGGAAGCTGGACCAGAGTGTTAAACTGGCGCCCCTTGTGCCAATTCCCACCACTGGCAGGTTGTAGACTGTGTGGGACCTCTCACATGTACACACACACGTACGCATAGTGTCTTACCCTTCTTTGCCTCTGTTGTGGATAGCCAGCTCCTCTGTGATGCCCTCCTCCGATTTAAACGCGTCCCAGTCCATCTTTGACTTTTCAAGTGTGCTCATCTTTTGTTTCTTTCCCCCAATACGACCCAGAATGCTCGACATGCCTGCTGGCCGCTTAGCACTGCAAGCACAACACACACACACTACACATTGAACTCTATAATGAAGGATATTGTTTTTTAATCAATGATAGTCTTCCCATCAAAAATATGAACATATTACACAGTACAGTACCAAGTTCAAATGTTCAAATTTTAATCACAGTGAAAATAAAAAATAGAAAATGATGCTGTGCAAAACAAGTGTAATTTCACATTAGCACCAGAGCTGTCATGCTTGAAGAGAGTCGACAACAAGTAAATGGTAAACAGTTTGCATTTATTTAGAGCTTTTCTACTCAAAGCAATAGACTGTACTTGCAGTGTGTAGATGCTGTCTGATAGAAAAAGCAAAGTGTATAGAGGCATGGTGTGAGTGAATGAGTGAATGATAAATGGTCTGTATTAATTAATTAATATATATATATATATATATATATAGGTGCTTTTCTAGTATGATGACCACTCAAAGCGCTTACATTAGTAGAGTGTGTTTGCCATTCACCCATTTACACACACATTCATACAGTAAATTTATTGAAGCACCTGTTTTCTATTAGAATGGCAAAGCTGGGGTTCAGTATCTTGCTCAAGGACACTATGGCATGCAGAGGGAAGACTGGGATTGCACCGCCGACCTTCTGACAGTCACAGCTTAGATTGTGGTGATGATGTCTGGTGTGGTGCCCAAAGACCTGCTGAGCTGTTGGCTTGCTGGACATTTGTGTCTATTGATTTGGTAGGAGGGACTATGGTGGAAAGTTTTTCCTTCCCCTCTTTTCCTACTCCCTGCGAGAAAGAGTAGCACTTGATGTCCTCACTATTCAGACATGATGCCATCAACTTTAATACATTTGGTTCAACAAGGACACTATGGCATGCAGAGGGAAGACTGGGATTGCTACGCCGACCTTCTGACAGTCACAGCTTAGATTGTGGTGATGATGTCTGGTGTGGTGCCCAAAGACCTGCTGAGCTCTTGGCTTGCTGGACATTTGTGTCTATTGATTTGGTGGGAGGGACTATGGTGGAAAGTTTTTCTTCCCCTCTTTTCCTACTTCCTGCGAGAAAGAGTAGCACCTGATGTCCTCACTATTCAGATATGATGCCATCAACTTTAATACATTTGGTTCAACAAAGAGTTATATAATATATTAAAAAAAACAAGAAAACCAAGACCCAGGTCTGTCACACACACACAACACACACACAAATTTCATAACACACATACATTATTCACACCCTCTGCTGGACTGACGCACTGGCTCAACAGGTGATCTCTGGGATGCTGTGGTAACATCTGTCACCAGAACGATAGTGTCAAGCTGACAAAAACATCGCTCTAAAACTCATTTGTAAATGTTGGTGGGAGTTAATTATGTGTGTACTTGCACTTATATCCTTGTGAGGACCATTTTGAGCAATAGACGTACCGAGTGAGGACATTTTGATAGGATAAGGTTACTCATTATGCCAATGAGATATATATGTGTGTTTGTGCGTGTATACCTGGTGCCAGGAAGAGGTTGTTGACCGGGTGATGAGTTTGTGTCTTCATCTCCATTCTCCTCCTGTTCAGCGTTTTGGCTCTTTAGATAACTCTTAGCTTCTCTGGAGTTTGCTGACACCTCTTTATTCACTCTGACAGAGGGAGACACACACAAAAGTTGGATTATCAGACACTTTACAGTATGTATATGGAGCAGTTTGAAACAACTACTATATGGTGGTGATAGCAGTTCAGCAGAAAACAATGAAAAACGGTATGTGGAAAAATGTGTGTGTGTGTATGTGTGTGTGTGTGTGTGTGTGTGTGTG